GCAGCACTGTAGCAACAGAGTGGGCTGGGAGGGCTGTGATTAGGGGGCTGCCTGTGCCCCAGCCCCCAGCCTGGGCACCTCAAGGCTGTAATACAGGCGTGGGTGCAGAGGTAATGCCGTGAGCCATGCTGGGGCCTGGCACGGCAAAGGGAATAAGTCTGGAAGAATGTCAGCTGTGCTTGGCAGCTGGCTCCAGGGGAGAGAGAGGAGCCCCGGGGGCTCTGCACCCCAGACATGTCCCACGGGACAGGCAGCGCTGGTTGCTCTGCAGGGGAGACTGACATGAAGGTGCACTGCTGCGTGGCCGCCTACATCTCTGACTACGCCTTCCTGGGCACGGCCCTGCTCCCGCACCGGCAGTACCGCATCAAGTTCATGGTGTCCCTCGACCATTCCATGTGGTTCCACGCGCCCTTCAGAGCTGACCACTGGATGCTGTACGAGTGTGAGAGCCCCTGGGCTGGTAAGTCCTTAGCGGGTTTTTGGGAGACCTTCCTGGCCGAGGGCAGCCCTGCCTGTCCTGCGGCAGGGGCTGCAGTCTGACAGGCTCTCTCTGCAGGTGGGTGCCGGGGCCTGGTGCAGGGCCGGCTGTGGCGCAGGGACGGGGTCCTGGCTGTCACCTGCGCACAGGAAGGTGTCATCAGGGTGGAACAGACACCAAAGCAGAGCAAGCTCTAGCTAAGGAGATCCTACTGACTGGGGCTGAGGTATGCTGAGGGAGGCACCCTGAGATCAGGAACAGGACCTGGACAGAACAGGAAGGAGACCAGGTGGGACCAAGCGCTGCAGGAAGTCCCAGTGCCAGAGGTGTCTGCAGCAGAATGTGACCAACAGAGCATCGCTGCCACCAGCTGCTAGCTGTGCAGCATGTAAGTGCATGCTGCCATCAGCTATCCTTCACCCACCTTAAAATAAAGTCATTGGGTGAAGAGCTGGACTCTGTCCCTGGAGTTTGTCCCCTTGGACCCGTGACTGGGCTTGCACGAGGGCGGGCAGTGCCAGGAGCACAGTGCATCAGCTCTGCCCCCATGCCAGGCTGGCTCACGGGAGGGGAAGGTGCTACTTTGGCACACGTTGTTTCCTCTTCTCACTTCTGCACTGCTTGTACTGCTTTGGCTCCTCAGTTGCTACTTCTGCTTGTCCTTGGGCTCCTCCCCAGGACTGGGCTTGGGCTTGGGCCCAGCTGGGAGCTGAGGGAAGGGGATGAGGCAGCTCCCACCTCTGAATGGAGGCTTGAGGCCTCCCACTGATGATGCCCAGGGGTAGTAAGGCTAAACAGACACAGCAGGCGCCTTGCTCTTCTTCCTGCCAAGACTTTATTAAATAAAGTCCTTTCTATTGTGTAAGTTTTATGGGAAGTTCCCGGCAAGAGCCCTGGACCCTGCCAGAAGCTTTCCCGTTCCCTTGCAAGGTGCCAGTATGTCCCAGCTAAAGTCTCAGCCACTCCAGGATCCCCTACAGAGGGGGAGCAGCTTCTGGCAGCACCAGTGTGGGTGTGGTGGACCCCCATGAGTCCCCAGCCCCGCAAAACAGACTAACCACAGAGAAAGTGCATTCAGGAGGCAGCTCCAGGCATGGCCTGTGCTACCTGTGGGGCTGCAGTGCTGCTCCCTTACCCCACTGCCACCCATGGCATTTCCCTCGCTGTCCCCAGCTGCCACAGGCGTGTGAGCCCCCCCACAGCCCTTGCCCTCCCGCCCATGTGAGCACAGGTGGCTCATTCCAGAGGTTCCTTGATCAGGCATTCCTTCAGGGACGGCTGCTGCTGCAGGGGCAGCCCAGCCTCCCGCAGGTCCTGCAGCCGGGCCTCCGAGCGCCGCTTGTCCTTGCCCACCTTCCATGCCAGGTGGACGTGGGCCTGCAGGAAGGGTCCCAGCAGCGGGTGGCTGCCCTGGGCCTCCAGCAGCTGCAGCGCCTGCTCGCAGCAGCCATGGGCCTCACTGAGCTGGTCCAGCTCCTGGTGGCAGACGGCCAGCCCGGCCAGCGTCAGCAGGAAGCGGCCGGAGCTGCAGACCCCCAGGCGGTCCTGCAGCCGGTAGGCGTTGGCCCAGGTGGCCAGGGCCTCGCGGTACATGCCGGTGCAGGTCAGGCGCTGCGCGGCCTGCAGGTCCGGCAGGAAGAAGAACTCGAGGAACTCGGGGGAGCGGCGGATCTCATCGATGGAGTGCAGGTGGGACAGGAACTGTTCGAAGGCCCGGCTCCGCTTGGCAATGGTCTCAGCAGTGAAGTTCCGGCGCAGTCTCTTCCTGGGGAAGGCGATGCTGGCCATGTCGCAGCTGAAGCGGCAGCGCAGGCGGCGGTTCAGCTGCTCAAAGTCCGAGTAGCGCCGGGCGATGGCGGCAGGGGCCTTGTCAAACTGGCCAGAGCGGATCAGGTAGATGGTGTAGAGCTGCGGGGAAGGCAGGTGTCAGGCAGCGCCGTGGGCACGTTGCTCCCGGCACAAGCACAGCGGGGTGTGCGGCCACAGAGGGCTGGGGGAGTTTGCCCGAACAGAAGGGAGCGGACTGGGCTGCTGCAGCTGCAGCACCCAACAGCAATAGTTACCTGAGGCTCATCTGAGCCGCCAGCACCATCCGAGCAGCACGGGGAAAGAGAAAAAAATAAGCGCCAGCCCCGTGTGATGCCTGCCCCGCGGAGAGCAGGACTCGTACCCAACCCGTGCCCGCCCAGCCGCGCCGGGCTCACTCACCACGTACTTGGAAGAGCGCTCGCTGACCACGCTGGCGCTGGTGACCTCGAAGAGCAGGCGCTGCGGTGCCAGGCTGCCCCGCGACCTCCGCCACAGCTCCTGCAGCTGCCGGGTCAGCAGGCTGCCGCCGGGGCGCTCCGCCGCAGAGACCCACTCTGTGCCGGGAGAGGGCTGTCAGTGCCCTCCGCGGGGACAGGCCTCTGACATCTGTCGCGCTGCCGGACGCCACCATCGCAGGAGTGTCCCTGGAGTCACCCCAGTCCCCCCAGCTCACCGCCCCAGCACCTGCCTCCGTCCTCCGTGCCCGCCGCCGCCCCCGGCGCCTGCGGCGGCTCCTCCAGCTCCTCGCTAGCTCCGTCCCCCTCCTCCTCCTCCTCCTCGTCTTCGTGGCTGGTGAAGCTCAGGGTGCCGCTGAGGCGCGTCGACAGCCCCTCGGTGTCGTCCTCCAGCTCCGAGCTCTCCGGGCAGTCCTCGGGCTCGCCGCCGCCGCCCGCCGGCTCCTCCCGGCCGGGCTCGCCCGCCAGCGCGTGCCGCAGCCGGTGCAGGATGCGGGCGGCCATCGCTGCCGGGGGGTCCGGGCCGGGACACCCTCCCGGCGCTGCCCCCGCCCCGGCCCGTCCGCGCTGCCCCGGGCCGGGCCGAGCCGAGCCGGGTGGTGCCGAGCGATGGCCGCTCCGCCACGGCTCGTCCCGGGATCCTCCCTGCGCGGCTCCGCCTCCGCCGGGAACCCGGATCGGGGCGGCGGAGCCGGCACTGCCCGGCACGGCCGGGATCGGGATCGGCGCTTGCGGCAGCGTCCGGCACCATCGGGATCGGCTCTCCCGGCACTGCCCGGCACGGCCGGGATCGGGGTCGGTCCCTGCAGCACCGCCCGGGACTCTGGGATCAGGGTCAGGGCTCAGCCTGGCTCTGCCCGCAGCCCCTGCCTAGGAACCGACCCCGCCCTTCCCGGTCTCGGCTCCTCTGTCCGCTGTCCGGGATGTCCTGGTCGGGCCGAGCTCCGGATATCTGCCCCGGGGCCGCAGGAGCCACACACTCCGGTGCTCGGCGCTGTGGTGTCCCGGCGTCTTGATACCCCCATACCCTGGCACCGCTGTGCCCTGACAGCCCGGTTCACCAACACCCCTGTATCCTGCTACCCCAGACTCAGGCCCCTGATCCCACTGGGATGTCCCCTGGGCCACCTTGGCACCCCGCCACCCCGGCCTCAGTCGGCCTCACCACGCGCCCCATGGCCAGGCTGCACCTCCGGCACTTGCCCAGCCTTTTTTAGTGCCTGCCCGCTCACTCCTCACTGTTTCCTTGGGAATGTCTATAAATATCGAGGAAGCAGCCCAGCTGCTGCCATCGCTCTGTCCACTGCTTGCTCACTGTGCCCTGTTCCAGCACCCTGCACCCCACCCGGACTCAGATGGGACCCCTGAGCTTCCCTGGGCAGGGTGGGATGCACCAGGGGCTGGACTTGTTCCCAGTTCCCACCTGGTGAGTGGGGGTCCCAGCAAAGCCAGGAGCCAGAAGACCCCTGGGCATCCCTGGCACTGGGACCTTATGGGACAGAGATCTGTCACCCTGACCCCACTGCAGCCCTGAGGCTCCGAGCACCACAGGGCATGGGCCACTTGGCCAGTGCGTCCCCAGAGCCACCGGTCCCAGCCAGTCCTGGCAGCAGTGGCTGGCACGAGCTGTGCGTGTGAGGACTGAGTCTTCGAGGAGGCACCGGGCATAATTCCCACTCCTCAGAAGCACGAAAAGATGGAGCCATTTCCGGAAACAGGTGCCAGCAGCGCTGGGGACCCCAAACCGTGGGGCTCATGCTCTAAATCTCTCCAGGGATTTTGTGCCCCAGGTTCCACGGGGGACCCCTTCCTTATCTGGTTTGGGGGGCTGCAGCACTGCTCTGCCTGGGTCCCCTGGAGCAGAAAATGGGGGTGCAGGGGGCACAATGTGCTGGGGAAAACCATCTGGCTATTGGGAGCTTGGCGCAGGAAGAGCTGCATTTTCAGGGGCCAGTGGGTGACAGTCCATGCCCCCTGAGCAGGGGGGACCCTGTCCCCCTTACCCGGGTGATGCTGACGGCTCCAGGGCTATTTTTAACCCCCTCATTGCTGAGTTGCCTTGGATGGGGGTGTTGGGGGTGGGAAGAGCTAAGCTCCTTCCACAGCTTTGATCTCCCTCCTGAAGGGCTTGAATTTCCATCCCAGCCTCATCCCCACGTTAATCCCAGCCCTTGGCCAATAAAGCTTTGGCTAAATTAGGTAAAGGCGCCAGTTGCCAGTGAGAGGGGCTGGGTGCTGCCAGAGCGCTGATAGGCTGAGGGGGCCAGGGGGCAGTAGCTGGAAGCACATCCCCCAGAGGAGACACTACAAATTGGGGTGCCAGGGGCACCAGGAAGCTTCTGGGAGTTCCTGCTGCAGGAGCTGGTGGTTCTCTGTGGGAGGGAAGCACCATAAATTCCCAAGATGGTGAGTGTTCCTGTGTGCTGTGTGCCATGTGCTGTGTGCCAGGACAAGACCTGCCTGGGCAGGAGGCACCAGGGGGGTCTGGGCTGTGGAGGTGCCTCTGCAGAGGGCAGCAGGGATATGGTCCCCAGTGCTGGGCTGACCGTGGTGGCGAGGGCAGGGAAGCATTGGGGTGGTGCAGGGTCCCCGCAGGATCTGAGGGTGAGCGTGTGGCTGCTGAGGGGTGCAGGTGCCTGGGGACACCATCTCAGCCCTGGCTGGGGCTCAGGGCTGCACAGAGGCAGGGGTAGCAGGGGGTGGCTGAAAGCCGAGTGCTGGGTCATGCGACACAGCGTTGCTGCTGGCTCCATGGTGCCTCCAGGAGAAACTCGATCAGGGCTGACAGGTGCCACGGCTGCAGCCCCAGCGAGCCCTACAAGGGGAGCTGAGGAGGTCCCAAAAATAGCACTGCATGCCCAGGATGCCAAGGCTGTGCACAGGGACCATGACCCCAGCACAATGGAGCCCCCCAGATAGCGGGGGACTCGGGCAGGCAGCTCCCTGCAGCCCTCCATGTTCATGGATGGTCTGGAAGGCATCAGAACTGTAGGGATTGCTGGTGTCTGTGGCTTATGCCAGTACAGGATTGTCCTGAAGCAGGGCAGAGGCTCTTCCCACAGCCCAGCACTGCTGGGCCATGCTGTATGAGGGGTCTCTGGCCTGACATGGGTGACCCCTCTCCCTTGCCTTGCAGACGGACCAGCAGGCAGAAGCCCGTGCCTTCCTCAGCGAGGAGATGATTGCGGGTGAGTGTGGGGACAGCAGGGACAGGGGCCAGACACGGCCATGGTGCAGGGCCTGGCTCTGCCCCACTGCTCAGAGACCTGACCTGTGTCTCCACAGAGTTCAAAGCCGCCTTTGACATGTTTGATGCCGATGGCGGTGGAGACATCAGCACCAAGGAGCTGGGGACGGTGATGAGAATGCTGGGCCAGAACCCCACCAAAGAGGAGTTGGATGCCATCATTGAGGAGGTGGACGAGGACGGTGAGCAGCCCTTGGTGGCTGGTGGCAGGCGTGGGTGCTGGACCCTGGGCAGGCAGCCTGACCCACGCTCGGTTCCTCCCCACAGGCAGCGGCACCATCGACTTCGAGGAGTTCCTGGTCATGATGGTGCGCCAGATGAAAGAGGATGCCAAAGGAAAGTCTGAGGAGGAGCTGGCCAACTGCTTCCGCATCTTTGACCGGTGAGTGTGGGGGCAAAGAGGCCCATCCTGTCTGTGGGAGCAAGCAAGGTCCCAGCCCTCTCTCACCCTCCTGCAGGAATGCGGATGGGTTCATTGACATTGAGGAGCTGGGTGAGATCCTGAGAGCCACTGGAGAGCCTGTCACTGATGAGGACATAGAGGACATGATGAAGGACTCAGACAAGAACAATGATGGTCGCATCGACTTTGATGGTGAGCAATGGCCCTGGCCATGCACCCCTGTTGTGCACCCAGGCAGGGCCATGGGCTGAGGCTGCTGCTCTCTTGCAGAGTTCCTGAAGATGATGGAGGGCGTGCAGTAAGGGACCAGACATTCCTCAGGCCAGCTGCTGCACCCAGCCCTGCTCCCCTGCTGTCCAGGGAGCAGCAGCTCCACAGCACCTGGCCCTCAGCACTGGCTGGGACCTTGCTCTGTGCCAGGGTCCTGGTCTCGTCTCACCACCGGCGGCTGAGCTTTTCCTCCCATCTGTCACCTGTGGCTTTGATTTCGCCTCAATTAAAGAGGAAAGGCTTGAGCTGCTGGTGCAGGATTTCACTGGGGGTGCATGGGAAGGGGGGCTGTGGCAGTGTGTGTGCCCCTGCTCTTCTCCCCAGGGAGGGAACGTGGGCGGGCTCGCGCCACAGGGCAGCGCTGCAGGGGCAGCCCAGAGTTGTGGTTCCCACGGCCTCTTGGGCAGGCGCCAGTGCTGAGCTCAGAGTTTCCGTGCAGAGCAGCTCGTTCACACGCCAGAGGCTGAGGGAGCACGGCCCTGGCCCCGAGGCTCCTGCTCCGGGGCAGGGCTGTGGGGCCACAGGGGTTCTAGAGAGCCACCACGGCCTGCCCCACACTGGGACCCACATCTCCCACCCAGAGGACCTGGCTATAAGGTGGAAGAGCAGGAGCAATCCCCTCCCTACAGGGGAAAGGTGACACTTGTCTCTGTGTCGCTCTGTGAAGAGGCTGTGCCAGCCTCCTGGAAATCACAGCTCCCTGGGGACCAGCTGGGGAGGAGCACAGCAGGGAGGATGAGGCTGGGTATGGTCCCCAGCCAGGGTGGGTGGGACCACCGAACCAAAACACGGCTCCGAGCTGGTCACATACCCACAGCACAGCGCCGTGGCACAGAGCAGAGCCCCCTGCAGAGCCAGCGACCACTGTGACCACCCTGCCCCTGCCCTGCTTTCACGGGGTGCCATGGCACCGGGCAGGAGGGATGCGTGCCGTGGGCGGGGGGCAGTGGGAACGTGTGCCACAGCCCAGGCTGCCCTCTGCAAGGCCACGGCCGGGCACCGGCAGCTGGTGCTGCAGCTCGGGGCGAGCGGCGACTGCCCCCGGCTGCGCGAGGAGCGACGCAGGAGGAGCGCAGAGGCCCGGGAGCTCAGCATGGGTAAGGAGGGACCTGCTGTACCGGGCAGCAGCCGCGGGGAACCTCTGTACGCCCCCTGCTCGGCGCCAGGGCCACCCCGGCTCACTGGCCTGTCCCGCAGGGCTGCGGGGGATGCTGCTGGCGGGGCTGCGGCAGGGCCCGGCCAGCCCTCGGGAGCGGCAGGAGCTGGAGCGGCTGTGGGTGCTCTTCCTCTCCGCCCTGGAGCTCTTCCTGCAGGACCTGTACAGAACCCAGCACCTCTGCCAGCTCTTCTCCGTGCAAGGGGGTGGTGTTGCCCTGCTGCGCACTGGGCTGGGGGGCTGGGGGCTGCCCAGCCGGAGAGGAGGGGGTCCCACACAGCCCCCGACCGCCCAGAGCCTGGAGGAGGAGATCGAGCAGGTGAGGGCCACGCTGGCAGAGATGGAGAGCAGAGCCAACATTCCACCATGGACAGTGGAAGCCACAGAGACCACACAGCCAGCAGAGACAAGCGGCACCGCAGAGAGAGCAGCCTGGGGCAGCCCCTGTGCTGGGCACTGCTGTGGGGTGCTGTGAGCTAGGGGGGCAGGAGACAGCAGCAGGGGTGGCACCCCTGTCACAGTCCTCAACTGTGTCCCCCTACAGTCCTCAACTACAGTCATCACCTTTGCAGGTGATGGTGGGGGCTGCTCCCACTCTGTAGATGGAAAGGGATCACTCCAGGCCCCCAAATATTGATAAAGCTCCTGTTACCCCACAGGGGTCAGTATCCTTTCCACCCTCCCTGCCCACACTTGCAGAGGGGCCTCTGGGCACTCAGGGTGTGCTAGAGCTGCCACAGAATCCCCTGCAGAAGTTATAAACCTGCATTTATTTATACATTAACCGTGGCTCGGACTGCGACATTAACTTAAAAACAGCCTATGATACAGAACACGGGGGACAGCCGGGAGGGAGGAGGGAGAACGGGGTGTGCTGAGGGGTGGTGGTGGCGGTCAGGTCTCCTGGCTCTTGGTCTGCTTGTTGTACGTCTCCCGCACATATTTCTTGTAGGCTGAGGAGAGAGGGGGAACATGACACCAAGGGTCCTGAGACAACAGCCAGGGCAGCTGTGCGGCCAGACAGGCACTGGGGGCTGTGCTGCTGCCCATCCCACTGGGGAGGGGGCAGGAGGGTTCTGCTTCAGGCACTCACCGACTTGGTTCTTCCAGAGCTCAGCTGCATGTGTGTTCAGAGGGCTCTCGATATTTGGCTCTAGAAACAGTGGCTGAGTCAGCTGGTGGGGGGGTGACCTGGACACCCTAGAGCTCTGATCTGGGCTGGACAGCCCCACCACCACCACCATCCCTTCCCCCAGCCCTCCACAGCAGTTTGTCCACAAGACCCACCTGCCAGCAGGCTCTGTATGGAGAGCAGGATGGTGCGGACATCATACAGCGCTGACCACTTCTCCTTGAGGATGTCGAGGCAGATGTTGCCCTGGGTGTCGACGTTGGGGTGGTAGCAGGGGGTCAGGAACCGCACGGTGGGGGCTGTGTAGGGGTACCCACTGGGGAACTCCAGCGACAGCTTGTACCGCAGCTCCTCGTAGGCCTGGGGGTGGGAGTGGAGGGGGACAGAGTCAGGGGGGGCCGTAGCCCCACAAGTGCGGGGAAGCCTCGGGGAAAACGAGGTACAGGGGCAGTGGAGGGCTGGGACCACCCTCAGCTGAAGGGAGGAAGGTGGGGCAGGGTCAGGCCCCCCAGACCGGGATCGCGCCTCTCACCGTCCCGGCGGCGCCGTCAATGGTCCCGATCCACTTGAAGAGGTTGTCGGACTCGGGGAAGGCAGAAATGCCTTTGTCACCGGACATCTGCGGGGGCAGCGGCGGTCAGGACACCCCGAGACACCCCCCACCCCAGTTCAGCCCCCGGGTGCCTTTGGGACCCCCAGCCCCCGGCTTGGTCCCGGGATCCCCGAACCCCGACTCGGCCCGGGGCCCCACTCACCATCAACGCCATCAGCTCTTGCTGCAGCCTGCGGGGAAAGCGCACGTTACCGGCCGGCTCACCGGGGCGGCCCCCGCCCTCAGCCCCGGTCCCGGCCCCGCTCACCTCTTCCCCACCGCGCCGCGGGCCGCCGTGGCCCCGGTCTCGGCCGCTTTGCGGGCGGCTGCGCTGGACACGGCGGCGGGGTCGGCGTTCTGTGAGGCCATGGCGGCTCCGGGGCGCGGACCAGCACAGCGGCACCGGCCGCCGCTGCCGGCGGGTCACGGGCGGGACGCGGCTCCCGCTGCCCGGCGGCGCCGCACCGGGCTCCGCTGGCTCCTGCCCTCCCTCCCGCGGTCCCTCTCGGGGCAGGACTCGGGTCCCTCTGCGGCTGTGCCGGTGCCGAGCGGCGGTCAGGGCTCCCCCGGCGGGGCTGCCCTGTGCCGAACGGCGGGGCGTGGGGCTCTCCCGTGCGGCGGCGGCCGCCCGATCCCAACCCCCGTTCCAGACGCTCTCCGATTCAGGAGCGGCTCGGTCCCGACCCCTTCTTCGGCGCAGGAGCGGCTGGGTCCCAGCCCCTCTCCGGTGCAGGAGCGGCTCGGTCGCAGCTCGGCCCCGCCTGCTCCCGCGCCCCGTTTGAATATTTCCGCGTGCGGCCCCTCCGCCAATCAGCGCGCAGCCCCGTTCGAGCCGGCCAATCACCGCCCGCCCAGGATGCAGCTCCCACGGTAACGGCTAGCGGCTGCTGATTGACGGCCGGCCAGTGACGCACCGCGCTGTGATTGGCCGCTGCCCCGGGAGGGGCGGAGCCGCGGGCCCTCGGCGGCCGCAGCCCGGAGCCCGGTGCCCGGTGCCCGGTGCCCGGCGCCAGGAGGCGGCGAGGTGGGATCGAAGCGGCTTTATTGGGGGCATCAGGGTTCGGGGGGGCCCTCGGGGGGCGGCACCTCCCCCCCGCGGCGAAGCGTCTCCATGTGCTTCTGCATCTTCTCAGTCATCCAGGCTGGAGGGATGAAGGGCTTCAGCTCCTCCAGCCGCAGATCAACAGAATCCCTGGGGAGGAAGGGGGGGAGATGGAGGGACTCCAGCACCCACTGCTGACCCCAAACCCACCGTGTCCCCTGGCATGCATCAGTACCAAGCACAGACCCACCAAACACGCCATGGATCTCAATCAGCACCGAGCCCAAACCTACCATGGACCCCAACCAACACCAAGTCCAAACTTTAGTTGCCCACCATGGCCCCCTGGACACCAAACCCCAACCATAACCGAGCTCCCCAGCTGTCAGGCAGAGAATCCCTCCAGCACAGGACACCCCTGCAATGCAGCAGTGAGGGGGGACATGGTGGGGCCCCCCAGGAAGAAGCCCCAGGCCCAGCAGCACTTTCAGAGTTTCTGCTTTAGTCCTCACCTGTAATCCTCACTGGCGGCCAAATCCCGAATGTCCTCTTCGATGAGGAGGTAGGCCTGTGGCACAAGGCAGGGGACACCTCAGGGTGCCTGTGAGGGGCAGCCAGGGCAGGGCCACACCCTGCAGCCACCGCTGTCCCCGAGGGAGCCAGCTGTGCCTCCTGGCCCATGCCCCAGGGCTGCGGGCAGGGGATGGACGTGGGCAGCGCTGTGTCCCACACCCTGCCTGCCCTGCTGGGGCCTGCGCCCGGCCGTACTCACCATCTTGCCCCCAATGGCCCTCATGTGCTGCTGCTCTGTCAGCCAGTGCTTATCCTGCGGGTCGGCCGCGTACTGCAATAAAGCAGCAAGGACTGAGCTGAGGACGGGCGACAGACCCTCCCCTGAGAGCCCCCTCCTGCAGGATGCTGCCCCCTGCTCCAGCCCCGGCTCTGGCAAACCGCTCTGGCAGGCACACCACACCACTGGCTCGTGCTGTGTGCTAGCCAAACCCTGGGAATGTGCTCTAAGACAACAAACAAGGGCACGGGGGAGGAGGTAAACAAGGGAGCTGAAGCACACACTCCTGATTCCCATGGGAAACCATCTGGCTGTGGCACCTGACCTTAAAGAGGTGGGGATGCTTGATGTAGAGTCGCCCTCTTGTTCCTCCCATCCCGAGAGCTCTGCAATAGGAACACGAGGGGTGTTAGGGTTGTGGGGAGGGCAGCTGCGGTGGCACAGGGACACCCCTCTCCTCCCCAAGCCCTTCCTACTGCTTTTGAGGCAGAGAAGCGAAGTGACGGGAGGAGTGTCACGGGCTCCTGCCTGGGGACACCACCCTCCATCGACAGGGCCGTTCCTTACTTGTTTGCTCGAGATCCCAGCACAAAGGTTGTGGTTTCAGTCAGTCGGGATGGATCCCACTACAGAGCAATTGGAAAAGGGGCAACATTAGAAATGAAGTTGCTGCTGGCCATGTTCCACAAGCCTCGGCTCTGCGACAGGGAACCTTGGAGCTGCCTCCAGACTGGGAGGGAGGGAGCTGGCCAATGACCTCCAGCCTTCCGCAGGGGAGGGACGTTACATTCCATCTGGGCTGATCTAAGCAGTTTCCCTCGTGGGAAACACTTGTGGGATTCTCCTGGCTACTCCCGGTCTCCTCAGGTCTCCCTCAGCAGCACCAGGCCACAGGGTACAGGCCATGGGGCCTGAGAGACCAGCAAAGGCCTCCGGGCACTTCGCTTCCTCTTCTTGCTCCACCCCAGCCCAGGGCCCCAGCAGGGCAGAGCACAGCCCGAGCTGTGCTGTGCTCCTGCAGCTGCAGGGCTGTGCTCGTGGGAGCAAAGGGGAGGAGAGAGGGAGCCCAGCAGTGTCGGACAGCTAATACCTTTGGTCCATCCCTTTTCACAGGCTCAGAGACTTTGAGCTTCCACCTGAGGGGAAGGAAAACACAGTAAGAATGAGTCCCAGTGGGATCAGCTTAGTCACCACCAGCAGCATGGACTGAGCAACAGCCCTTCCAGATTCACCATTTTTCACACCCTCCATTCCCCCACAGCACCCAGCTTCAGACCCTCAGCTTTGCTGCACATTCTCCTCTCCAGATCCATGGGATCTGGCTGCCCAGATCCCACCATCCCCTGTGTCTCACCACTCACTCTGGGTGGTCCATCTGGACCTCTTCACCCCTTTGGGCCTGTTTAAAATCCCTCCTTTTGAGGTCTTTGCCTCCTGAGGGGAACACCTCAACCTAACCCTGCTTCTGCCCACTCCCAGAAGAACTCCCATCACCTCCCTGCAGCAGAGGAGTCTGTGGGGTTTCTGTGCTCCCCACAGGCAGCCTCACTCCCGCTGCCCTCCCCAAACAGGGGCTCTAGCTCAGGGTTTGTACTCACGCTGCCATGCCTGAGACTCCACGGTCGTTTGACAGGCTCTGTCCTGGAGGCCGCCCCTTCCTCTGCAGGAAAAAACCCTTCTGTGACCCAGCTGTGCTGCCTGAGGGAACCCTCTCAGCCACCCTCCCTCTCCCAGGGAAGCTGCTTCTTTTGCACAGGCATAAACTCTGCCTGGCACCAGAGCGAGCACCTCCAACGCCTCAAAAGAGCTGCCTGTGCACCTCCCTGCACTCACACTGTGGGAATGGCCAGGAATGAGGGCCAGGCTTCCCAAAACATAAAATCTCTTGTGGGGAAAACCATCCAACCTTTTTTGGAATGGGGCTCCCTCGGCGGCTCAGCTCCTCATCCATCTGTCGGGCACGCTGGAAGAGGAAGGGCAGTGGGATGAGCAGGGCTCTTCTCCCTGCCTGGCCAGGTGAACACTGACCCCAGCCCACCTCTGTGAGCAGCACTGAACTGCAGCAAGCAGCACCCACACCTGGGATGCTCCTTGCCCTGTATTCCCTTCAAGCCAAACATCCCCTACTCTGCCTCGGCACTACTGCACTGGCAGCCAAGAAGAGCCAGAGAACAAAGTGATCCCAGCTCTTCCTCTCCCAGCTCTCACAGGTCACTTAAACCTCTGTGTACAATCACAGCAATTACCTTTGGCACTGCCTGCTCATGGGGCAACCTGGGAACCACCTTTTTGCCATCAGAGAACAACAGTTTGGCCTGCAGGAAGACAAAGAAGGTTCCATGGATTCTGGGCTCAGAGAGGGCCCCATGAGCAACCCCCACCTCTACATATCTGCCTAGAAACCCTGCAACAGCTTTGCTTTTAGAGTGCCACCAGGCCATGCTTCCACAGACAACCAGATGCAAAAGCACAATCTGAGCATGATAAATTCTGGAGAAATGGCAGATAAGCAAGATGTGAAAGGAAAAACCCTGCCCTACCCTGCCAGGACCCTCTGACAGGTGCTGGGAGCCAGTTTCTGCAGGACTCCAGCAGCGTGCCATGCTCCTACAGCAGCACTGAGAAGGAGCAGCATGAGCTGACTGCTCCCTTCTTCCCAGTGAGAATGAATCCCACCACAGCAGTCACACAAGGGCTGTGGATGTCCCCTCAGAGTGACAGCAAAGCTGTTAAGAGGGACACATTCTAGCCAGGCTGCTTTGCTTGGCTGGGCACCCAAGAAACACCTCACCAGCACCCACCTGCTCCAGGCAGCTCCTGCAGGTCTCCTGGATGAGCTGCTCTGGGTCCACCTCCTCCCCAACGTTATCACGCACGTTGATTGCTGCTGTCTGGAAGAACTGCAGAGGAAAAGGCAGCAGCGTGACAGCCTGTGCGGGGTCAGCTCAGCTCCCACAGACGGGCGCGACGGCCTCGGTGGCAGCCGAGCTGTCCCCACGCCCCCGCTGCCGCCCGCAGCGCCCACCTTCATGTACTTGTTGAAGATGCCCTGGATCTCCTCGTTGATGCTGGGCTGCAGCACGGCGCGCAGCAGGTCCATGGACACGCTGGGGTCCGTGAAGCTGCGGGCGGCGGGGTCAGGAGGGCGGCGCGGAGCCCCCGGCCCGGCCCGGCCCGCTCCTCCCTCGGCCCGGCCCGCATCCCGCTCCCGCGCTCCCACCCCTGCCCTCCAGGCACCGCGTGCCCGGGCCGCCCATGCCGCGCCCGCCGTACCTGGTGGTCATCTGGGAGCGCCGCCCGCGCCGCTGCACCTGCCGGTGCTTGATCATGATGTTCCAGGGGCTCTGCGGGACACACGCGTCAGCCGCGGCCCCGCCGCCGCCCGCCGCCCCCGGCCCGGCCCGGCCCGTCCTCACCGTGCTGACCAGCTGCTCCTCGGCCTCGCCCGGGCCCTCCTCGCCCGGCGGCCCCGGCTGCTGCTCCGCATCGCGGGCGGCGCCCATGGCCCCGCTGCCGGCTGCGCCGCCGGTCACCGGATGCGCGGGGAGGCCGCGCCTGCATCATCGCGCCCCGACGGATGTGACGGAACCGGGGCCGCAGGGCCGGGCCAGAGCCGGGAGGGCCTGGGGGGCACCGGTGTGTGTCCGGGGGGCTCCCGGTGTGTGCCCGGGGGGCTCCCGGTGTGTGCCCGGGGAGCCCGGGCTCACGGCGTGCCCGCCCGGAGCGCTGGCCGCAGTCCCGTGTCCCCGCCGCCCTCACGGGCTCGGCAGTGCCGGGGGCCGGGCCCGGCGTCCCTCAGGAGTCCCTTGAACCCAGCCCGTTCCACCCTGAGCAGGAGCTGTCGCGGTGGCGCTGGACACACGCGGCCCCTGGCCCTGAGTGCCTGCAGCAGGAGTGTGAATGGCAGTCTTTCCTT